GCCTCTGTAGATTTTTGTAGGAGCTAACGAGGTAAGCGTTAGCGAGTCGCGGCAAAGAGGGACACCGTCATGCTGGTGGAGGACAGAGGCTGCTGCTGTCTGGCGCGTCTGAATGGCCGGCCCTGTACCATGACGGTACGAATTGACAGAATACCGGTAGCGCGGTCAGGCTGGATACGATCCGTCGGCGGCGGGTGGAAGGGGGTGGGAAGGGAAGGGGGGTGTGTGTGTGTGCGCGAGAGAGAGAGAGAGAGAGTGTGTGTGTGAGGCCGTGCTGATGAAAGAGACCATGAGACGGCGAGCGAGAAAGGCGTAGAGAGGGGCGCCCTAAGACGAAATAAGGAGGCAGGGCATGGGACCAGGGGTGGGTTGAGGACCACCGGAGCCGAAGTGGATAGCGCTGGTGCTGTCGCTGGGAAGCCTAGGTATTCATTTCTCAGCATCCATCCCATCCATCCAATCCATCCCTCATCGTCCCTCTGGCGCCGTCGGTCTCGAGTGCAGACCGACCGACCATCCCCGGGAGCCCCAGCAGGAGTTCCACTGCATGGGAGCATGCACGCCTGGCTGGCGCTGTTGCTGGTGCTGGTACAGTACTTTCTTGATGGACAATGGAGGTGCGGGCCCATGTCGGAATTTGCCAGGTCAAGGCCAGGCACATGAACCTTCCACCTCGCCTCGAGAGTCTGTTTTGCTCTGCCGTCCGGCAAGCGAATGCCAATGTCTAATGGTTGGATGAATGGGAGATGAGGGACACGCGGAAAAGGTGTGTGTGTGTACATGTATATGTGTGTGAGTATGAGTGTCAGTCGCGTCTGCACCTGCACCTGCACCTCGCTGTCGTACAGGCAGGCATTGGTGCCGGTGCTGGTGCTGGGCGCCGCAACGGCCTGCAGTCTGTCGCTGCTTGTCTTGCTGGTTCCTGCTGGCGGCAGGCCGAGGAAGACCAGGGTAGGACGAGGGGGTCTGCAATTGTCGGTGGAGGAGCCAGGGAGGCGGGAAATCGCAAATGTGTGCCAGTGGGGTTTGCTTGTGTTCAGTTCACAATTGGTACCGTGAGGACGCACTCTGTTGACGAAACAAGCTTGTCAACGAAAGACCCAAAGAGCAAATCCCGGTCGCTCCGTGGTGATGCAATCTTCAGTTCGCCAGCCCAATTCGGCTCGATGCGAAGACATGACGGGTTTTTAGGGGGGGCCACCATCTGACTCGGTGCCGACCGGTCGGTCGCATCAAGCTTGGAAGAGGGTCGTGGGATGTTGGAAACTCTTTGTCAACACCCGAGTAGCGCATCTCCGCCATACCTATTCCTGACTGTGGGCGAGGCTCGTCTCCGAGGAGCAGCGCAAACCAGCACGCGATGAATGGGCATTTCGTGTTACTCCCCCGCCATGGGCACCCGCGTCTTCCCCAGCGAGCTCCCCAAAATCGCCCCCCAGTCGGTCAAATGCGAGAGCCGACCTACTATGTAGAGCCGGAAGAGACGACGTGTGAGACGAACCATCGGCGGCGCAAGCGTGACGCAATAGGCCCCGGTGTGCTGCTGAGGCTACGGGACAAAAGGCTTCTGAGGAGGAAGTGGATAGGATCGCTATGGCTGGCAGCGATGCTATGCCGCAAGCCATGTACGCGGTTTCTGTATCCTTTGCTCGTCGAAATGCACGGACCGGACTTCTTTCGGCCTCGGTATCGATGGGAGCCGCTCTATAATGACGGACCAAAAGCAAGCCGCCGGTGGTAGGGCAATGGGATTTGACATAGATGTGTAAGCGGAGGGTGAGGTGTGAGCACAGATGCGGGCCCCAGAGGTCCAGAGGGAGCTCGTGACTCGATTTGAGTAAATCGATCTGACGCAAGGCTTTCTTCGATTTGAGTGGCAGAATCAGTGATTGTTGGGTGTCGCTCGATGTCCCCATGCGACAAGAATGGTGTGCGGACATCTTTCTGCACTGTAATAGCAAGCATGCGCTCTGGCTGCAACACCCCTCCCCCCCTTTCCGATGCAGGGTTCTGTGGTCACAGGGATGCAAATCCCAGCAGTGTTGACCTGATAGGCAAGCACATTCTGTTGTTCAAAACCCGCCGTCCCAGCAGAGCTCGGAAGCCAAGCAATGACACTGCACTGCAATCATGAAGAGTACATGTTACGTTAGGTTCTGAGGTGACGAGTCTGCTGCATGTCGCAGTTAACAAGGCGGCATCCTGACTCTAAATTCGCGTTCGCTCACTGTTGTCAACCCGTGGGCGATGGATCCCACAGCCATATCATGACCAGGGGGAAGTTGCATGTCGTGTTGCCGATGGGGAAATTCATGGGGGAGGGGGAAGTAGGGGGGTGGCTTGAATCCTCGTCACCCAGTCATCGAGGGTGCTCTAATTGCCGCGAAGGGCAGCCAGCACTGAGATGCGTCTAGGATGAGGTAGCTCCGAGGCTCGTTTCCAGACGATGGATGTTGCCGTCCACATGCTTGTATTTCCCTTCCGGCGGGGTCCGACCCAAGTCGGAAAAGAACTTTGGTGTTTCTGGTTGGGCGAAAGGACGCCCGGGGCAAGAGGTCAAGACAGGCTCACAGGGCAGTGTGAGCACGACCACAAAGACCTCCAGGCCAGGCACCAGGGTTCGGCCATTTTGGCTTCTGTTCTTCTGCAGGGAAGATCGGGAAGGTCTTGGCAGCCCAATTCTGACGGGTCTTGGCAGCGTGTTCTTGGCACACGTAATTCGTCTGCCGCCCGATGCCAAGACTTTCACGATCCAACCCCGCCGTTCCTGGTCGGTGCTTTGCCCGTTCAGTCGACTTGGCGGAATATTTTTGATTGATCCAGGGTCCAACGTGCTTGCAGAGATGGCCGGCCTTCTGGAGAACGGGAAGCTGTCAAGAAGAGGGTGGGCAGAGGCCATCTGGCCTGAAGGAGAGGCGGTGATCTGGCAATCTGACCACACCCTAGTAGACTCTTCGTTAATTCCGCTAAGTCCTCATGCCAATTGGACACTTGTACCCAAGTACCCAAGTAGGCAGGACGTACCCAGGTACAAAGCCCCATCGCTCATCGCGCTCGCCCTGATGAACGGGGACCAGGCGCCATGGACAAGGGGGGTGGGAGGCGGAACCACTAGCGGCGGCTGATATGTGCACAGTGCCTGCCTCATCCCTGACGGTGTGCCTGACTTGCGTCCGTTTGTGCAAGCAACAGAAAAAGCCGCGGGTGGTTGACCAGGGCACAGGGGGGGGAAGGAGGAAGAGGGCAGCAGCAGGCGCGCCCTTGAGCATGATTAGTCCGAGACTGTGACAGCAAAGGCAGGAGCGAGCGGGAGTGGGTGAGGGCGCACATCACGCCCAACCGCGTACTGTACTTGCCAGGGCTGTTTGTTTTGCCCACGCGGTCTCCAGCCATCCATCTCCAGAGCCGGTTCGCATTCGCCAAATGCACCGTTCGGGACCCAGCACGACATGGACCCAGTAGCCGAGTAGAATTTTGCGCTTCCCATGTGCAGTCTATCGCGACCCGTTGCTTCTAGCGGATGGAGAGAAAACTGGGACATCAGGCGGGTGGGAGCAAATCGCATCTCAATCTGCTTTCGCACTTTCCCTTTCGGTGCTGCGCACGCCCACTGTCAAGCCGGCTTTTGCCACTCTTCGGATCCGAGTCGGTCGAGTTCTTTTGTTGCCCACTGACAGGGCTGACTGAGCCCTCTCGCATAGAAGCATGGGCTAGTCGCCAAGCACGACGCTCCGTTATGCGAATACATGCATCTCAGACTGCGCGTAGAGCACAGACTCCCTTTGTGATAGGTTGCTTCGAAACTGCCTGCACGTTGACCTACCCCGCAAGAACTGCCTGCCTGACGTTTCCAGCTCACGACCTGAGCAACTGAACGCCCTCAAGCTGAAGGTTTGACGTCGACCTGTACTCTGAGAGACGATTCTTCCCCACGCATCTATTTCAACTGCGGCACCTAGAGGTGGAGGACACCTACCCACACCCTAGAATCTTGATACACTTTCCTCGCCTTTCCCCCATACGCATACGAGGCACATCCACTTAAGGTACCTAGGTAAGGTAGGTAGTCACGATTTCGCCTCTCCACGGACTATATCCTACCTAGGCGACACCCGAACATCCTTTCCTGCCAGCAACTCACCTGCAGGCAGACCGGCTCCAGTCACCGACCCTTGCCTGGCTGGCTGTGTCTGAGAAGAAAAAGCCCACTCCCAACCGACGCCAACTTGTTACTGGATCAATTCAAGCTTGGCTTCGTTGGTTGACAAGCATTTACCCTATCTGGAGCCCCGGAGACCACTGCTTCTTCAGACATCGACCATCATGGCAGCGGCGGCGGATGAACCCGGCCTCACGGCTTTCTTCCATGAGATGAGCGAACTGGGCGGTATCGTTGTCAAGGGTAAGCAGCTAATACCACCCAATTCAGTCCCGGCAAACAGAATGCCGAAACAAGAGGCGATGCACGCGCCTGCCTGTGCACGCTACCCCACGTTGACGCTAACGTCATCTCATAGAGACACCCAAACTTGACCTGGACCTGTACATCCAGAACTACAGAGGTAGGCTGCTTGCAATGGCCGTTGAGTACTCTTCTGACCTGTTTCAGGCCGCACTCGCTTGGATCGCCTTCTGACCATCGGTCGTTGCTGCGTACCTCTCTGCGTCGAGGCTTTGAAGGCTGCCGTTGCTGAGGCTAAATCTGGCAGGGACGTTGAGCGGTATCGCGAGATATGGGAATGCATCAGAATTGCTGCGCCGGCCGAGCCTGAGGCTGTCTTTGACCAAGCCTGGGCTGACAAGACGACCATGGAGAACCGCCAGCAAACTCACCATCTTGAGACACAACTCAAGGGGTACAAGAACAATCTCATCAAGGAGAGCATTCGAGTATGTGCTCAGATGAAACAGGGATGATACCACGTGATTACTGACATTGAGCAAAAGATTGGTAACGAGGAGCTGGGTCGGCACTATGAGAACATTGGTGACCTCAACGCGGCCAGCGATGCATACACCCGCATGCGTCCTGATGTCAGCACATCGAAGCATATCATCGATCTGGGCAAACACCTCGTCGATCTTGCCGTCATGCGCCGCGACTGGTCCATGGTTCTCGGCAACCTCACCAAGATCACTGGCATGCAGAGCGAAGAGGAGAGGAGCCTCCAGACGTATGCAAAGATTGTTCAGGGCATTGCACTGATGAACATGGAAAAGTTCAGTGATGCTGCTCGTTCCTTCCTCCAAATCGACATTGGGAAAGAAGTCAAGGATGGCGTCGAATCCAACAACATTGCTAGCCCCAACGATGTTGCTGTCTATGGTGGTCTTCTTGCTCTCGCCACCATGGACCGCAAGGACCTACAGAAGAAAGTGTTGGACAACCAGAACTTCAGAACGTGCCTGGAGCTCGAGCCTCACATTCGCAAGGCCATCTCGCTGTTCGTTAACGGTCGCTACTCGGCATGCCTGGCTATTCTGAACTCGTACCTGGCCGACTTCTTGCTCGACATCTTCCTGCAGAAGCACGTGAAGGCCATCTTCGCCCTCATCCGCAGCAAGTGCATTGTCCAGTATGTGGCGCCGTTCTCTTGCGTAGCCCTCGGCAGCCTCAACGAGGCTTTCGCAGCGCCGGGAACAGATATACAGGTTGAGCTCGCGACGATGATCAAGAGCGGTCTGCTACAGGCGCGTATCAACACCATCGATCAGGTATGTGGTCTATTGACATGAATCTGTGGCACGGCACATGGGACCCTGGACTAATGCAAGGTTCCCTTTCGGGCAGCTCCTTGTCGCCGTGAACCCCAACCAACGAGCGGCAATGCAGACGCAGGCCCTGGAGACGACCAAGGCCTACGAGAGCGAGGCGCTCGAACGAATCAGGCGCATGGGCCTCCTGAGTGCGAACCTGGAGGTCAGGAACGTCAAGAAACTGCAAGCGACGGGCTCCCAGGCGACGGCGCCAGATGGAGTCAGTGACGTTTGGTTTGACAATAGCGGCGAGCCGATGGCTATCGGGGCACCATGATGGCGTCTGGGCGCCACCCCTGGGCCCTGAGCTGAGGGCTTAGAACGGGACGGCGGTGGCTGGTCAGGGGGTCACGATGTACACGCGGCTCTGGGAAGGGGGCCGAAGTTGAGATGAGCGCTAAAGTATGCGATATGCTTTTGAAGGGGGGGCGACGCGGCCTGCCCAGTGCGCAGAGCCAAAGAGGGGCTCCAGCACCCGAGGCCACCGTCGTGGCGCCAGACTTCTTAACAGGAACAAGCTTAGGACAGCCGCATAAGACCCTGGTCTGCCTTGCCCCAGATCGCTTAGCCTCAATGTATCTATCATGAGCATACGCGGCCTCTTGTCCCCTCTTCCGACTCCTTACACTCATGAAGGGACGCCCTTTACTGACCACGTGTACGTCATGGTTCGTTTGCGCTAGAAAGCTAGTGGGCCCAAGGCCGACACAGGGCTTCAGCTCTAGGGTGTTTTTTTGTTTTTGATCTGACATTTGAGTGCATAGAAGGGGAATTACGTGGACCGACCGCCATGGCAGCACGAGTTTCATCCTTACCTGACCTTATCTGTTGAGCAGGGCTCTTCCCCCCCCCCCTCCCTCTCTAAATGCTGTGATCGAACCCCAGGCCATTCGAGCTGGACATTGCTGCAGGGGCAATAATCGAACTCCTCACCTCAGGTTCGAGCTGGATGGTGACCGGCCCCCGCCCCCCATCATCGTTCGGTGGACGTTCCCGGTTCCTTCTTTTTGAGGCTTACGCACCCCCCTGCCGTGGATCCCAAGTCTTTCTTTTTTTCTTTGTG